TAATATTTACTACATGATTAGCATAGTTGCAACTATAAACATCTCTACCATTTGCAAGGATTGTTAACTTTTCTATAAGAGAATTACTTCCATTTACTATTCCCATTTGGTCTCCATCTGCATCTATATTAGCTCCAGCAGCAAGCTGATTAACTTTTAAATCTACTGAAAATCGCGCGTTATACCAATCAAATGGAGTAGCCTCACCTGTATTATCAGCAACAAATCTATGGCCTATTTTAGTTTGGTGAGCACCATTTCCAGGTGTTGCTAAAGCCTGTTCAAGGTCAAAAACAACATCTTCATATCTTTCTAAATATTCTGGATTTCTAAAGGACTTCATTTTATTTTAATAATTATATAATTTTTCCCCCACTAAGAATAGAATTCACTCTTTGATTTATTTCTTGTTGAGTTATTTTTTTGTTTGGAATTATTTCAACATTTTTATTAAAAGTAACTTTTTTGTTTGTGGGTTTACGGGAGGAATCAACTTTCCCTTTTGATAAAATTTGCACTATTTTATCACCGGCCTTTTTACCAGCATGTTCACCGGTTTTTGTTGCAGCTGTTGTCACCACTTTTTCAACGCCTTTTTTAGCAGCTTTTTTCATTGTCTTTCCAAATATTTTTTTACCAAACGATTTAAAAACATCTGTTATTCCTTCGCCATAAATATGTTGTCTTGTATACCTACCCAATTCAGGGTCAAGTTTTTTTTTTAAACTCTGATTGTCGCATCATTTTATTTTAATAGTTATACAAAATGATTATTAACGAGTCGCGCGTAGTAGCAGGGGGGGGGGGGGTGGGGGGATTGCATCCCCCATTTACATCGAGTGAAGTATTAAAGTCATAAACCAATCAATACCATTAAAATTTACTGGTCTTCCAAGTGAGTCTGTAACATAAATTCTCATTTCATCAATGTGATATGAAGATACAGGACAATACAATGGTCTTTTAGGTTCAAACGTAAATGGATAAGACCTTGTAAGATTATCAGTTGGTATCACAGCTATGGTATTTGTATTTATTCCATTTACAATACTATTAGTTATTGAGCTTGTGTTGATATTTAACACATCAATCGAATTTGTGATATTTGGTAGTTTTGATCCATACTCTGTTTTATTAATAAGTTTCTTTTCAAAACCAATTAGGTCTCCAAATTCTGTTCCTCTCAGATCAAGTTGATAATCACCATCAAGTGATACTAACACTCGATAGGTAGATAGTATAAAAGTTAGATTGATTGAATAAGTCTTTTTTCCACTTGAATCTGTTGAGTGGTGAGACTTTTGAGTCATATATTGATGAATATAATCATTGATATCAGAGTAGGAATACATTCCATCTACAAAAGTAATTGTTTGCCAAGTCCTTCCATCGTGAGTGTATTTAATTTTATTGTTTCCATAATCACTTCTAATGTTGTACCAGGAATAAGTCATGGACAACCGATCAAGAGCAAGTTGATGTTTCTTTTCAGGGTCGAGCTTCAAAGAAGGATTAAATTTGATAGTGAAATCACCAGGTCTGCTTGTTCCTCTTTTTTCTCTGTTTATCGAAGAAATGTGGATAGCCCGTTCTTCCATTTTATCTAATGTTTATATTCCTTTTAAGGGAGGGGTTATAGGGGAACCGTAGGTTCACCTATTTTTAGTAAGTCATTCAGTTGTTTTTTTGAGATTACTTTCATTTGGTTGAGAAGATGCGCGATTTGAGAAAACTCATTTATCACACCATTATTCCCAGCAAGAATTGATCCACCGAGTAGTTCAAGTCTGTCTAGAAGTTGATGTGGGTTATTAAAGTAAATCATTCCAGAGCCAGATTTTGTTTTATAATACTTAAGATTACTTAAGTTTGTGCTATATATGCTTAATATATTATAATTTTTTATGTTATTTAATGTTTCTTTTCGTGGATTTTTACTTTTTGGTTCAGCTAAAAAATAACCGTTTGCGTCTCGTACAAAATCCGCGGTATTTTTTAATCTTTTATTAAATTCTTCTAAATCATTATTAACTCCATCAATTAAATTATCAATAGTAAAAACATCCTCTTCAAAATACTCAGAAGGGAGTTTGTGGTATTCATTAACTTTAAGTATATCTTGTGCTTCTTTATTCGTTAAATATCTATCTAGGTCTTCAAGTTTAAATTTTGCTACTTTTGGTTTTTCATCTGATGTAGAGGGTAAAACTTCTTTGGCTTCTTCGTCTTCTTCGTCTTCTTTAGGCTCTTCAATCGCCTCAAAACCAGGTAATTGAGCCAAATCCCATTTTTTTACTTCGTCAAGTTTATCAAATCCTTCAGTTATAGCCATCCTGTTTTGATTAAGACCTTGTGTAAGAGCAAGTTGATTAGCTTTAAGTTGTGCTATAGTTGCGTTTTGTTGCTCGTCGATACTTTTTTTAATGCTATCTTGAGATTTAATAAGTGGTTTAAAAGTCTCTTTAAAACCCTCTCTCATATCTTGTTTTTGCCACTTTGTTGTTTTTATAACATCTCTCACCTGTCGAATCAAAGCGTCGGCTTCGATTTTATTTCTTGCAAATTTTTTAGCTTCTTCTATATCCATTTTTATCTATTAAATATATAAATGGAACCCCTGCTTGCTACAAAAATTATTTAATCATTAAATAAATGGAAATACCAAACTATGATAGTACCGATGACCTTGATAAAAAATATAAACAGCTATTTACTTTTATGCCAGCGGATACGTTTAGGATGTTAATCTGTGGAAACAGTGGAAGTGGTAAGACTAATCTGTTGTACCATATGTTAATCGAACCACTGTTGTACTATGATGAAATTTATCTTTACGCGCGTAATCTAGAACAGGATAAGTATCAAAAGCTAATTCAAAAAATGAGGAAGTTAAGTAGTAAACTTGGATATGAAATACTTCATGTGAGTAACGACGAAATAACCCCGGTTACAGAAATGGATTACGAAGACAATCAAAAACTTGTAATATTTGATGATTACGTTTGCGACAAAAACCAGAGACAACTTATTGATTATTTCATTCAAGGACGACATAAGAATTGCTCTGTAATATACCTCAGTGAAACTTTTTACCAAAAATCTAAAGGATATTCGGCTAAATTGCTCTCACTATTGTTTGTATGAATTTCCTTCATCGAGGGAAGCAAACAGAATATCATCTGAATTAGGAGTTGACAAAGAGACATATAAAGCAGCAACAAAAAAACCATTTACATTTCTATACGTTGATAAACCTAGAAAACGTATTGCTAAAAACTTTACTAGTAATCTATCCTAATAATAAAAAAATGGGTATATTTAACGAACAATCTTTTGATCATCCTGTTGCTAAAGGAATTCAGGGTGCTCCAGGAGTTGGATTTAGTCTAACCGCAAATGGTAATTATGATATTAATAAAAAAAGACTCACAAATGTTGGAGCACCTAGTGATAATAATGATGCCGCCACAAAGAAGAGGTCTCCAAATTCTGTTCCTCTCAGATCAAGTTGATAATCACCATCAAGTGATACTAACACTCGATAGGTAGATAGTATAAAAGTTAGATTGATTGAATAAGTCTTTTTTCCACTTGAATCTGTTGAGTGGTGAGACTTTTGAGTCATATATTGATGAATATAATCATTGATATCAGAGTAGGAATACATTCCATCTACAAAAGTAATTGTTTGCCAAGTCCTTCCATCGTGAGTGTATTTAATTTTATTGTTTCCATAATCACTTCTAATGTTGTACCAGGAATAAGTCATGGACAACCGATCAAGAGCAAGTTGATGTTTCTTTTCAGGGTCGAGCTTCAAAGAAGGATTAAATTTGATAGTGAAATCACCAGGTCTGCTTGTTCCTCTTTTTTCTCTGTTTATCGAAGAAATGTGGATAGCCCGTTCTTCCATTTTATCTAATGTTTATATTCCTTTTAAGGGAGGGGTTATAGGGGAACCGTAGGTTCACCTATTTTTAGTAAGTCATTCAGTTGTTTTTTTGAGATTACTTTCATTTGGTTGAGAAGATGCGCGATTTGAGAAAACTCATTTATCACACCATTATTCCCAGCAAGAATTGATCCACCGAGTAGTTCAAGTCTGTCTAGAAGTTGATGTGGGTTATTAAAGTAAATCATTCCAGAGCCAGATTTTGTTTTATAATACTTAAGATTACTTAAGTTTGTGCTATATATGCTTAATATATTATAATTTTTTATGTTATTTAATGTTTCTTTTCGTGGATTTTTACTTTTTGGTTCAGCTAAAAAATAACCGTTTGCGTCTCGTACAAAATCCGCGGTATTTTTTAATCTTTTATTAAATTCTTCTAAATCATTATTAACTCCATCAATTAAATTATCAATAGTAAAAACATCCTCTTCAAAATACTCAGAAGGGAGTTTGTGGTATTCATTAACTTTAAGTATATCTTGTGCTTCTTTATTCGTTAAATATCTATCTAGGTCTTCAAGTTTAAATTTTGCTACTTTTGGTTTTTCATCTGATGTAGAGGGTAAAACTTCTTTGGCTTCTTCGTCTTCTTCGTCTTCTTTAGGCTCTTCAATCGCCTCAAAACCAGGTAATTGAGCCAAATCCCATTTTTTTACTTCGTCAAGTTTATCAAATCCTTCAGTTATAGCCATCCTGTTTTGATTAAGACCTTGTGTAAGAGCAAGTTGATTAGCTTTAAGTTGTGCTATAGTTGCGTTTTGTTGCTCGTCGATACTTTTTTTAATGCTATCTTGAGATTTAATAAGTGGTTTAAAAGTCTCTTTAAAACCCTCTCTCATATCTTGTTTTTGCCACTTTGTTGTTTTTATAACATCTCTCACCTGTCGAATCAAAGCGTCGGCTTCGATTTTATTTCTTGCAAATTTTTTAGCTTCTTCTATATCCATTTTTATCTATTAAATATATAAATGGAACCCCTGCTTGCTACAAAAATTATTTAATCATTAAATAAATGGAAATACCAAACTATGATAGTACCGATGACCTTGATAAAAAATATAAACAGCTATTTACTTTTATGCCAGCGGATACGTTTAGGATGTTAATCTGTGGAAACAGTGGAAGTGGTAAGACTAATCTGTTGTACCATATGTTAATCGAACCACTGTTGTACTATGATGAAATTTATCTTTACGCGCGTAATCTAGAACAGGATAAGTATCAAAAGCTAATTCAAAAAATGAGGAAGTTAAGTAGTAAACTTGGATATGAAATACTTCATGTGAGTAACGACGAAATAACCCCGGTTACAGAAATGGATTACGAAGACAATCAAAAACTTGTAATATTTGATGATTACGTTTGCGACAAAAACCAGAGACAACTTATTGATTATTTCATTCAAGGACGACATAAGAATTGCTCTGTAATATACCTCAGTGAAACTTTTTACCAAAAATCTAAAGGATATTCGGCTAAATTGCTCTCACTATTGTTTGTATGAATTTCCTTCATCGAGGGAAGCAAACAGAATATCATCTGAATTAGGAGTTGACAAAGAGACATATAAAGCAGCAACAAAAAAACCATTTACATTTCTATACGTTGATAAACCTAGAAAACGTATTGCTAAAAACTTTACTAGTAATCTATCCTAATAATAAAAAAATGGGTATATTTAACGAACAATCTTTTGATCATCCTGTTGCTAAAGGAATTCAGGGTGCTCCAGGAGTTGGATTTAGTCTAACCGCAAATGGTAATTATGATATTAATAAAAAAAGACTCACAAATGTTGGAGCACCTAGTGATAATAATGATGCCGCCACAAAGAAGTATGTTGATGATAATACCAGTGTATCATCAACAACACATCTAACAGTTGATTCAAACATTGATATGAAGAATACATACCGAATTACAAATCTTAGCACACCACT